TTTTTATCATTATTTTCATTCAGGAAGTTTCATAAATTATGTAGCGAAACTATCCTAGAAATACTCAGATTTCATGCACATTTTAATATGTTCTGACAATTCTGAGAAATGTTGTATTAGCCTTTCTCCCTGTGATGGAATGGCAACCGGTTCAGGGGGAACCCACCTCTCTGGAGACGGGCACCACCACTCCTGGCAGACCCTCCAACGCTGTGTAGGACAGTGGATGGAAAACCTCTCTCCAAAATTTTTGTTTCTTACCTCTCTTTGGACTGAAGACTTACAAAATATGACATGTTGTAATAGTTTTGAATAAACGCCTGCAAGTGAGCTTTTTATGTATGATTTCAAAATGTACATTTCGTTAACATGTAATTAAAAAAAGAAAAAAAAAACTTGAATAGCTTAGTACAAAACATCCCTTGGGAGATGATTCCACTTCATCGGCCAAAAGGTCGAGTACAACATGACCAAAACTATGATGGCCATTTTATCCAAATTTTATTATCATGTTTTAGAGTCGTTTAATGAGCTGTGAAGAAAACTATTGGTTTAAAAAAATGCCTAATTTATAAGCATACTTGTATGCCTGTTCCAGCTAAGGAACCCAAAATTATAGACAGATTTAAAGGCTACATTGATTTTTAATATTTGGAAAATGAAATATTAAATATGCGTACCAAACATCTACAAAAGAAGTAAAGAGAATTTTATGTTTTTGGTATGAACTGACACATTGTTGGTACAAAACTGTCACTTGGTATTTTGTTTCCAAAAAAATACAAAATGACCAAAACTGGCAGCAGCCACTCAAGCAACTCTTTCAGTTGTTATTCAGTTCTACCTTAGTTCGTTTGAGAACCTTGACCTTATATTTTTTTAAATTACTCAGAGTTTAAATATTTACTCATCTTTATAGAGCAAGCTGTCATTGTGTAGACAGTACATTAATTAAGTCAAGAGCTTAGAACAGCAGACATGTTATGATCAAAGTTCTGGACAATTGTACAAACTTTCCAATCAGGAAGGCAAAATGGCTTCTGGTCATTCTAGGAAGAAGTCAATAATCTATAAGTAACCTGCCTAATCTATTAACATAGTTTCATGAAATTGAAATCTTCTTAGACTGTCTGACAATAAACTTGGAGTGATAAATGTGGATAGTAAACTGTGCACGTTTCACATTTGAGCATCACTTCAGTACATCTGCAGTCAGTATAGCCTTCTGTAAACAAGTTATTACTAATCCCTGAGTTAATTAACTGATCTGAGCTGATCTGAGCTGAAGTCTAAATACAATCTAATCTGCCTTAGCAGTAAATACTCTGCTGCACCACAAAAAAAAGAAAACAAAAATCAGAGGACAGGATGACACAATTAGGAAATTGTTATTTTAAATATGATCAAGTCCATGATCTGTTTTTTTTATTTTATCGTCATTATCTCTTCACTTCTCATTCCCGTTTTCCAAATAGACCCTTCCTTTAGCATAACTCATCCACTTTGAAAAGATAAAAAAAACAAAGGAATATTTTGTCTTATAAATAGTGATATTTTACAAAAACATATAAAACCATTTCACACTGTGTAAGTCAACTTAAATTCATAATATTCTTGGATAATCCTTACCCTTGTAACACCTTCATGTTTCATCCCAACCAAGTCAAGATATCCTATTTTCCTGTAGTTGTTTTCTATTTATGTGTTTTTCACTGCACCCAGTTTATTTATTTCTCATATATATTTTATATTTTTCATTTAAGCAACAATGATTTGTTGAAGAACTTTCAAATCCTGTCCTGGTTTTCAGAAAGGCCGTAACTGAAGAGGATTAGCGTTTCAGAGGTAGATCAGATGTGACAGAAAGCATCAACATTCATTACCACTGCTTTGGTCTCTTTTAATACTTTATAACATTTAACATTCTGTAAGATAATTGTTACACAATCTGCTTTAAAGTATTGTGGAAATGTATTTAGGAGGAATTTTGGCCAGGTTTAAACTAAAGGATGAATACAATAAAATTAATTTTTCATCACATTACAACAAAATTAATTTAATTTCATGAAATAGAAAATCTGGTGAAGAAAATCCATATTTTTGGTCCAGAAAAATCCCTAAAGCATTAAAAGTTTGATTTACCGCACTTCTAATTTCATGCCCAAACCCACAAAATAACAAAACGAGTCCTATTTATATTATCTTGAATAAATCATGAGATTTTTCTTAATTCCTTGGACATAATAGCCGCTAAGGGATAATAAAGTTAACGTTTTCACCTGTCAAGGGTTTAGATATAGAATAGGATCAAATTAGGGTGACCTAAAATAAAATACCTAAAATACCTAAAAGATAAACAAGGATGAGTTTTAAGGAGTTGTTGGAGATCAGCCTAGTTTCATAACTATCAATTAGAGGCAGACATCTAAGAAAATGAATGTAACAAAGGCTATGCATATAGTGATATTAATAATAGCTTTAACTAAATAATTAATACGTACATTTATATATGGCTTGACATATTCTTGAAAAGTGGATAAATAAAAACAGTGGAAATTGCATAGGCTGCGCAGCTGGTAGCACTGTTGATTTGCAGCAAGAAGGTTCTGGGTTCGAATCCCAGCCTGAGGTGTTGCTGCCTGGAGTCTGCATGTTCTCCCCATGCATGCATGACTTCTCTCCATGTACTCCCGCTTCCTCCAAAAACATGACTGTCAGGTTGATTGGTTTCTCTAAATTTCCTTAGGTGTGCTCATTTGTCCTGTGTGTCTATGGTGCTCTGGCGAGCAAGAATAAGAGAGTATTAAAAATAGTTAGATGAGAATAGGACTAGTAACTCCTAGTTATTTGGAAACGTTTTTTATGTCTTAAAATGCCCATAGATGCATTGACAGCATCTGTTCAGCAGACAGTAGTAAAGAAGACTAGTTAGAAATCAGTCATCAGCATTATCTAAAAATTAAGTCATGTGTTTCAATACAACAATAAGCAGAAAAGTTTTGTTGAACTTTCTCAGTGAACAAATATGATGAGTAATGAGTTTTTTCTGTATCGGATGTTGTATTTTCTCCAGGCTCCATCCACAGTTTCAGGACAAAGCAAAGAGTTCAGGTTGGAGTCAGTCAGGGTAGCCTCTTGTCACTGATCCTGTGTCTGATGCTCTTAGACAGGATCTTAACACACATCTACTCCATCATGGACTTTTAGGATTTGGACATCAGGCCAACCATTCGCTGCTCATTGCACAATCCTTGCTTATCTGGATGCCAAAAGACACATATGTTCAGACGTTTTAGTTAAATTAATTCCCACGCATCAGGTTCAACGGTAACTGGACCATCTGGGCCTAAAACAACATCTACCCTTGTAGCTCCTGGATTTTATTTTCATCTGGAGAACCGGTTTTACCTGTCAATAGTCAAATTTTGTTGACTGGCAAAAATCTAAAGACATGCACTTTTGAAAAATAAGTTGGATCCATCTGTCTGTTTGTCCATCCATTGACCTCTGGTTGTCTGAGACTGGGTAATGGGGTGATAGGTCCAAAAGCTTTGTTTCTGGGTTTGTGCAGGGCTTTCTTCACAGTGGGATGTTCCTGAAAAGCACCCATTTCCAAGGAATGAAGAGGCATTCATTAGATCCCATGAAGTAAAGGTGAAGTAATGCTTCTGTCATCTGCTTACTCAGATGACAGACCTCACACCCTTTAGTCCAGTCACCCAATAGAGGAATCTCAATTCAGCCTCTTGAATGAAAGAAATTGTACTTTTGATCATGATCCACATTTCATGACCATTGCTTAGAGTCATACTGTAGTGGTAAATCTGGAGGTTTTTATTTCGGTTTTGTTCTTCACCTGAAGAGTAGCATAGAGCAGTGGCTTCTCCACAGCACATAAGACCCCTGTCTGTCTCTTGCTCCATCTTACCATCATTCACTAACAAGATAACAGGATTCTTAAACTTCTCTTCAGTGAAATTTTCTTGAGTTAAATTTTTGGTCCTAGATTGCGTTTGGTTATTTTTGTACTGAATGATCATTTTTTGTAAATAATTTCTGTTTTTATTTCATATCAGGACTGCTTGTCCTGATATGATCAGTCTGGATTATATTTTCATCCAATTTGGATGAAAATTGACGTCCAGTAGTGGCAATCAACCAACACTATATAGACAAAAGGTTTCATCTGAAAGTGAGTCAGGTTGAAAGCAGTCATCAAATGTGAAAATCTTGTTTTTTGGCTTTTACGTCTTGTCTATCCAGTGAGATGGGATTGGACAGGCATCAGGGGCTGACCAGGAACACCTGGGCCCAACGTAGCCTCTATGTCTAAGCCAACTTCTCCCAACATTTTTGGCTAATTTCTACCTTAGATTCCCCTGGAGTTTTGGCCTCTGGGTGTGGTTTTGTTTGATTGGGTTCGTTGGGTTCATTTTGCTTCTGACCACCATACATCACTTGCATATTAGTCATAAACATTCACGCCCCACACCAATACTTTAATGAGTCCTACAGGCCATAAATCACTTGTTTTGGTTTGTATAAATTAAGTAAAAAAAAATTACATCAACCAATTACATCAATTAGTTGATGTAATTATAATTTTTTCCATTGAACGGCTCTAAATCCCCGCACAGTAAATCGTTGAGTTGGAATTTCTACAATATCTGCAATAAAGACCAATAAAAGCAAGGTTCTTATAGAAAACAATTAAATGAAAATATGACGATAATGTTTTCTATGTTTTTATTAACGGAAGTGTAATTTATAATCTGTTTTTGTCGAGACGAGAGAAGTTTGAGACACATTTCTTGTTTTAAACTCATATATTAAAATGTTTATATCAATATGTAACTTTTGGGTTGTTAGGAACACAGGACAAGTCGGAAATATTCACAGTTTGAGATCTGCAGTCGCATCTGCAACCAGTTCACAGAAAGCAGGAGCTTTGAGAACTAGCGCAGGGGTTTTTTTTCTGAGGAGGAAGAGGAACACCCAAACGCATCACCGGCGACTGCAAGAAAAGGAAAGATGGAGGACAGCTCTTCAAAACAGATGCCCGAAAACCTGGACGACCCTCCGAACAGCCGTCTGTTCGTGGTCACCAGTCGGTCTATAACTGAAGACGAGCTTCGGGAGAGTTTTTCGAAGTTTGGGGAGGTTCAGGGGGTCTGGCTGGTCAAAGACAAGCAGACAAAGGAGCCCAAAGGCGTCTCATATGTGAAGTTCGCTAAGTCGTCACAGGCCTGCTTAGCCATGGAAGAAATGCACGGAAAGGTGCTGCAGGAGGGGACTAAACCGATAAAGGTACAACTAAAGGGATGGTAATAACAGAGAAGTTACACCAGCTGACTGAAATATTATCTGTCAATGTTAATGTTTAAGTAAATTTGGTTAAAGCTGTAGCTAGCATGCTAGTGGCTAACATGATAACAGCTAACATGTTATCATGTTAGCTATCAACCCTCTGACGCGTAAGATGTTTCTTTTGACCCACTGAGGTCATTTCTTTATAATGTAACGTTTTCATCTTTTCATATTCCAGGTATTCATCAAAAGTTATGTTGCTGATATTATCCAATTACATTTTTTAATTTATCTTTTATAAATTTTAAGAAATAGCATTTTTAAATTACTACCCATTCTTTCTTTAGTCGGTCAATAGCTTTGTGTTTTCATTGAGATTTCTTTTTATTTTTTTATTTAAAAAAATTAATTCCTGCTTTTTTTAGAAAAATATTTTGTTTTGAACAGTTGTCCTTTCTTATTTTGGATAAATATTTTGCCAATATTTTTTGTATTTTTGCTATTGTGTAATCATAACCATAGCAACAGAGTGGTTTACAACAGGGAGCAGCTGATCAACATTGGAAAAGCTGAAATAATACCACAGCTGAAGCCAGAAAGCCTAGAGGAGTTAAACAGGAAGTGTCATGGATGCAGAGCCGGAGCAAAAAAACCAAGATTTTGGATTTGTTTTATGCCAATGTCAAGGATGCGTGTCTCCAAACCAAGACTTCCTCTGGGGAAATCTGACCATAAACATGTTTTTCTCTGTTCTGAATACAAAACTCTGGTGAGGCGACCTATTTGGAAGATGGCTGTTAGGAAATGGTCACAGGAAGCAGAAGAGCCCCTCCAGGCTTGTCTTGAAGAAATTGATTGGACTACTCTCTGCCAGCCATATGTTGACGACATCATGGCCATGAATGAGTGTGTGACTGACTATGTAAACTTCTGTGTGGACAGCAACACCCCTCCCAGAACAGTGAAATGCTTCCCAAATAACAAACCCTGGATCACCAGTGACTTAAAAAAGAGTATACAAGCAGCTGAAAGTCAGGATTAGAGACAGCAAGGAGAAGTACAGGAAGAATCTGGACAATAAACTGCAGAGGATCAATATCAGAGATGTGTGGTCAGGGATGAAGAAGATCACAGGCTTCAAGCAAAAGGAGAATCAGATTGACGGAAGCCTTGACAGAACAAATGAGCTTAACACATTTTTTAACAGGTTCAGTTCAGGAACAAGTTCAGCATCATCATCATCCTCTCCTGTCTCCAGACATCCCACCTTCCTCTGACTGACAGCTTTCCTGTCAAACCTCAGGTGTCCTATCTTCCACCTCAGTCATGCATTCTTCTGCTTCCACAAGTTTGTCTTCAACCAAATCAGGAGATGCTGCTGCTCCCTTTGCCTCCCCGTCCTACTTTTCTGTATTTAGAAGTGAAGAGGCAGCTGGAGAGACTGAATCAGAGCAAGGCTGCAGGTCCAGATGGTGTCAGCCGCAGAGTCCTGAACGAATGACAATAAAGTTCTGCTTTGTCTTAATTTATGAATATGATTTATTAGACTATAATATGGATGCTGTATTGTGTGTTTTTTAGGTGTTTATAGCACAGTCACGAGGATCAGGCAGACACAGAGATGTTGAGGATGAAGAGCTGACCAGGATATTCATCATGATTCCCAAAACTTTCACAGAGGAGGATCTAAAAAACACATTCAGAGTAATTACTCTGTTACATTATCATTTTGTCATTCATTTTAAATTGTAAAGCAAATACAGTGAAATATTTCAAGCCCTTTTTTTTAGGAGTAACACAGATAAATCTGTCCCAATTTCCTTTGTTTTGGAAGATTAGTGATTTGCCGATACTTAGAAACTGATCTTATTCTATTGAGCTTATCTACCTCTACAAAAGAATGAAAATCAACCACTGATCTGCTTTTGCCAGCTACATAGAAGATGGTGCTGCTGGTCATCCTCTAGTGGAGCCAGTTGATACAGAAACAAAGATGGCAGAGCCATGCCAGAACAGGAAAGAGAAATGGTCCAGAGTCTGGTTAGGGATGCAAAATGATTTTGAGGGCTGTTGTGAGTTAGTGCGCTACCTGGAGCAAAGTTTTAACATTCCTTTAAGAGCAACTACAGACAGTTTCACATATTTAATACTTTTTATCTTTTATTTTTCTGTTCAGCAACCTAAGAAGTTTCTTTTTTCTTAAATTGTTTTATAAATATGTCAAAGTACATTAATGTGAGGAAACCACAGTTTTCTTTTTTTCAGTCAGTATTTCATACAGCGAACACAAAATAATGTTAAAATGTAATGTTTTTGTTTTTTATCATACAAAAATTTATGGAACGTTCGTTAGCCATCTTAGTATAAGAGAAAACTCAAGTTTTTAAGAAAGCTAATCAATTAATTGTTAATCAATAAGACCAATCAACTTTAGATTGCCTTGCATACTTGTTCAGAATATTAGAGGAGCATTTGTTTCATTTCTGTCCCACGGCTGTTTTTCTTCTCTGCATGTCTTCCAGGAGTACGGAGATATTGAATATTGCATCCTTATCAGAAACAAGGTCACAGGTGAAAGCAAAGGCCTCGGCTATGTGCGCTACTACAAACCCTCTCAAGCTGCCCTCGCCATCGAGAACTGTGACAAATGTGAGTCTGTGCCGGTTGGTCCACTGGTTCAGGTTGTAGTGTGGAATTTATCACTTGAAGAGTAGTTTTGGAAATGTTCATAACAATAGACTTCATGAATTAGAACCTCAGCCAGTGTCTTGTTGGTTAAATACAAAAACTGTGGTATCGTCTCCAGCTTACAGAGCCATCCTGGCTGAACCACGCAGTAAAAATAACTCCTCTGAAGATTACTCTGCAGGAGGGACCAGGGGTGGAGATTACAGCTCTGGTGACTCCATGAACCAGTACCCCATCATCACTAGTATGCATTTTAAAAACACATGGAATCAAGCATTTCAAATATGAACTCTTTTTCTGTTTCTTACCTTGTTTGTTTCTGTTTTTTGTACTACAGCTGATCAGGGGAACTACTCCATGATGGACTACCGCCAAAGTGAGTTCACCCGCTCTCTGATGGTGTCCACGCGGGCCGCGCTCACCCAGGAGCAGATCTTTGCTCTGTTTGACCTCATCCCAGGCATGGAGTACTGTGAGCTGCACAGAGACTCGTACGGTATGAGCAAAGGTACTTGCCCCCACTGTGGATTCATTTTGCTGTGAGTTTTATCAGGTCTTATCCAGATTGTTCTCACTGTTCTTATGGCTTTTAGTGGCAAATGGAAGTCGATACATGCTCGAGCATCATGTATGATGTGAGCAGTTGTGAAGTGGGGGGCAGGAGGGACTCTTTGTTACATAGCTTATGACATAGAAATGTGGCCATGCATCTCAGTAAAATAACTTCCAAATAGTGGAAGAGTATGATAGGAAAGTCTTTAAGCTGTTTAAAACCTTAATGCTGGTAACTGGGCCAGTTATGACCAAACCTTGGCGTTAATGATCACACATGGCAGGTCAGCTGTCTTGGATCAGTTTGTTAGTAGATATCAATGGAGTCTAAACAAACCTGTTCACTGAAACATTTTTATATGAAGCAGAAGTTTTGGTGTCAGCAGTTTGTATTGGTTCTGATTGGAGATGACCCGCTTTAATTGGGCTCCTCCATGTGCCTCCAGGTCACGCTCTGATTCGCTACAATAATCTCGGATCAGCAGTTTATGCCAAGGAGAAGCTGAACGGCTTTGAATATCCACCTGGCAACCGAATTCAAGTGGCTTTTTACGATGATGGAGAGAGGTACTAAACACACACACACACACACACACACACACACACACACACACACACACACACACACACACACACACACACACACACAGCTACCTGCATTGCTGAAGATAGCTTTGAATATTTTAGAGAGTGCATTCACTGTCAATAATCTTTCTAATCAACAATCTATTGGCAGATCCTTGAAAATGTTTTCATTCCTCTTGAATGTTATCACATTTTGTTTCTTTACAACCACAAACTTCAGCATGTCATTAATGGGTCATTAAGCAGTACAATGCAGTTGAAACTGGAATTGTACTTACATCCAATAAAAAACAGCCTGAAGTTAAGTCAGACCAAAGTTTTCTTCTTTTAGGTCACTTAGAAATAACAAAAGTATTTCTATTTGTTAGTTCCACAATGACTACAGAATGTGTCAGAGATTTATTTATTCATGTCTTCAAAATCAGAAGTTTACATACAGAATGCTTACTGTCTCTTTAAATAATGAGGCCAGGTGTGAAAAAGCCCAAGTGACGATGTCATGGCAGCAAAAAGTTTTGACAGGTTAACTGACACATTTGAGTTAATTGGAGTCACACTTGTAGATGTTTTTGAAGGCCACATCAATACGCGTGTTTCTTTTTGACACAATGGAAAGCCAGAAGAAATCAGCCAAGATATGACATCAGTTCTTTGGAGAAAATGTGGGCAGGTGTGAAAAAGCGTGACACTGTGGCCCACAAAATGAATTCAGTTCCACCAATTCTGTCAGGACAAACCAGAACTCCAGCAAACTAAGAAGCTTGAGAAAGGAAAGGTTTGATCAGAGCCATACAGTTCAAAGGCAATACTACCAAATACTGAGAAAATGTATGTAAACTTCTGATTCTGAAGACATCAGTTAGTAGAATTGACTAACCTAAAATAAGACGAGTTAAGTCAGATTTAACTTCAGAAAAAAAAGAAATTCTTACTGGGTGAATGTACATTTCTCAACTATACCTGAGGGGGAAAAAATCTGACATTGTTACAAATCTGTTTAGGAAATATATTACAAATCAAAACCCCTTTACTTTGATGCAGCAAAATCAAATCTAGTATCGCAGGTCCTCCCCCTTCTCTCATTACCCATCAAATCAGAAGTTATGCATTTAATAAATTGAGCCTGTCTGGTTGTCATATAATGTTTTCAGAGGCTGTATTTAAAGGTGATTCTACAAACATTTGAAAATGTAGACGGACTGACCTGTCATAGAATTAGGTTAATTAATATGTAATACTGATATGACCTACAATAAATGTTGATATTGTTTCGTAGCAACTAAATGAGAACTTGACTGATGGGAGGTCGTGCAAGAGCGTTTGAGTGCTAGTAACATTGTTTATGTGCAGCCCTGCAAACCGGATGGCCTCTCAGTTTGTTACAGCCCAGATCCTCTCCTCGGTGTGGAACGGAGCCTCCAGCAGTATGATCAAACCCACCGTGAGTTTATTCACTTCCTGTTCTCCTTGCTCCTCCTCTTATTGCAAATACATTCCTTCACAAGACTAAATATGTTTTTGTAATTGTTTTTTCTTCTTACAATCAAAATCACTGATTTTGTGGTGCTACTTTAGAAATATTTGCAAGGAATTTTGTGATCTTAACACTTATGTGTGAAAACCAGTGGGACTTTTTGTTATTTACCATATTGACTCAGCATCCAGGTAGTGTAGAAGAAGTGTGAAATGCTGCCACTTACGGATGGACAGTAAATCATTTTTATCTTTAATAAAATTTTCTTGCTTTGAAGATTTACAGTTTTGCAAAATCTGGATTTCTTTCAACCAACCCAAGAACTACCATCTTTCCCTCAGCCTCAACTCTGACTTCAGGTCATGTGAAGGAATGATTGAAATAAAGCTAGCTTTTAAAGATATTTTCTGTCATTTGTAAAATAAATAAAATAATTCAAGGGGAAAAAAATATATTAAAATTGTAAATCAGATTTTATTCTTATTTGATTGGAGCTGGAATTTATGTCTTCCAGCCATAATGCCACATGCAGGTGGGAGGTAGCATCACTTAACCCTAATGCTTTTAATAAAACTAATATTTCCCGCCCTGGTCTCTCTCCACCAGGGATACTCGTCTGTCTCGCAGATGTCTCGCATTCAGACGGATGTCACTCTGCCACCTCTCAAGAAGCTAGCTCCATCTGACAGTAAGGCCAAAGAACGCCTGTTTGTTGTCTTCAACCCCTCCCCGCTGCCGCTTGACGTGCTGGAGGATGTATTCTGGTAAACGTTGACACTCCACTCCGTCGCAATGTTTCTGGGTTATCCCACAGCTAAAACATGCCTGCTAATGTCTGTCTCTGCAGTCGCTTCGGTTCCCTGATCGAAGTCCATTTGGTTCCAGGAAGGAAGGTTGGATACATGAAGTATGCTGACAAACAGGTGAGTCTCTCAGGAATGAATGAGTAAAATCAAATTTATTTGTATAGCACATGTTTAAAAAAGTGCTTTAGATCATAAAAAGTCTTTATGAAATGTTCTTCAGGTGGTAAAAGACTGACTTTGTAACTGTTTTTATGTAGTTCTGAATTTTCAGGTCAAAGTTCATCACAACACTCAGATTTCAGCCTATCTCTAGTTTCCAGCTGTAAAAACTGAGTGCTGAGGTCCAAAGATAATAACTTTGGTTTGTTTCTGTTCAGCTGGAGAAAGTTATGATGGATCCTTATGTTGATTTGTTCTAAGCATCTGTTCAGTGGTTGGATGGATTCAGTTAAGTAGTTACATGGAAATGTAAAGCTGTGTATCATCTGTGTAATTATGGCAACTTTTTGTCTTGTCAAAACGTGAGTTTGCAGGAGGATGTAGATAAATGGGAGTTCCAGAATTGAGCCTTGGGTTACCACATGTGATTTCTATCTGCTCCGATGAGAAGTTACCTACTGACACAAAGACAGAGGTGTGAAGCCTGGTGGGAAGGAGTTTGTGTGAGTTTCAGTCCTGTGTCTTTGTGCGTCTCAGTGTGCAGATGAGGCCATGGCCGTGCTCCACGGTCGGATCGTCAACGGAGTGAAGATGAAGGTGATGCTGGCTGATCCTCCTCGGGAGGAGTCTCACAAGCGGCCGCGGACCTACTAGACCAGAACTGGCAGGTAAGGGTTACATTTTAAGGAACATAAGCAAACAATGCCTAAATGTTGTACACACTTCTACAGGGTTTCCCACAGAAAACTTGCTAAGCTTGATGATGGAGCGCCAGGGCCTTCACCCTGTGGCCCACCATGTTTTTGAGTTACATTATTTTGTTACATTTACAGAAAATTTGAAAATATAATTTGTAATTATGTATTGTTGGAAGATATTATCAGCAATACCTAAACACCAACTGTAAAATTATAAAAGGACACTTTAATTAGTATGAAGTGCCTGAAAAAATTTTTTTTTTACTGTTGTTTTAGTCACTTCATACTAATTGAAGTGTCCAAAATGTATTGGTCCTTTATCCATGACCTGTCACTTTATTTGCTGAAGTTCTTGGCATGTAGACCAGTACAAGATTGGCAGAAACCTATTCCAAATAAAAGATTGGTAGCCTGGTGGGGACACAAGTCAAGCCTAGTAGTCTGCCAATCTTTTAAAACTCTGGGGGAGACCCTGTATCTAACAACTCAGATCATTTCTCTCATGGTATTGTAGTTAGAACTGTGTGCATGAGTTTCACACAGGGCTGGGCGATAAGGATTAAAAATAAAATTCAATTTAAAAAAACATTTTTTTCAAACCAGATCCGTTTTTTAATTTTAACCATTTTTTTGTCGGCTTTTTAGGCTTTTTTGTCTGATTATTCTTATTTTGCTCTCTCCCTTTTCTAAAATAGAAATTACAAAAAAATATTGTCAAAAAGTGAATTTATTTCTATCATTCCTTCTGTGGGTTGTATGTCTGACTATCAGGGCCATATGAGAATGTTTGTTTAGATCAGAGAATACAGTCATAATATTAGCAGAACCCCTCAGAAAAAAATCATTATGAAATATGAAAATACACATATAAAATTACAAGAGCTTAACTATCAGAACCTCAGTGTGTGTAGTTTTTTTCTTAATAAAGTCAGTTATTTGCATGTTGTTTTAAAGCTTGAATTAATAATTCAATGCTGATGTGATAAAATATAAAATATTATTTTTAAAATTGATTACAAACTATAACTTCTCAAGATGCTTAACATTTCTCATTTTAATAAAAAATTTTTATGTCATAGTTCTCTTAAACTTACTACTTTAACTTTCCTAATAGTATGAGTTTATTCTGATAGCATAATGACTTTAGTCCCGTAATTAAAAACATTTTTTAGCCTGGGTATAATAGTTCCTGGTAGAGGTGACCTGTATTAAAAGTCTAAATAAATAGAAACTATAAAATATGTTTATCAAACAAGATGAATTGGTGAGAAAAAAAATGTCTAAATTTTCCAAAAATGAAGTCTTCAAAATGTGATGAATTGAAAACGTTGATTTATTGCTCAGCCCTAGTTTCACAATAACATATGTAAGTTACAGAGCCTTGCAAAAGTCTTCATATCCTGCAAACTTTTTCCATTTTGTTGTGTTTTGTTCAACAACTTGAGTCTGGTTTAATGGGGTTAAAAACCTTCATTTTTAATAAATGAAGGTGCAATAGAAAATGTTTTATTTAATATTTTTTCTTTGCTCAGTCAGGTTGGACTGAGACCATCTGAATGTGTTTCATTTATTTATTTACAAAGACTTTTCTAAGGCACTGTGTCTGTCAGCTTGCATGCTCTGGCTTTGTTGTTCTGCTTTCATTTAGTTCCTTATTTCTTATTTAAAGGTAAAGTCGACTGACAGCTTGGTTAAATGAAGCACTTTTAAGCTGAAAAGATGTCACCCCATTCCCTGTTAATAACACTGCAGCTTTTTGTTCCCTAGGCGACTGTTGTCATAACAAAACGACACCTGACCTGACAGACCAACAGACACCAACATCATCTCCTGACCTCTGACCCGACCCTTTGCCTGACTCGTATTCAGTCAGTAAGCATCTCTGTGTTTAATGATGTTTCTGTTTAATTTACATTTCAAACCAAGACTTTGTGGAAAAAAATAGGCAAAATTTGGAGTTTAAAAATGAGCTAGATTATGATTCAGAAGATCTGTTTTTGTTAAACTGTAAGCAGGATCCTGTAGTCTAAGTTTAAAGAACTTGACCTGAACAGTCAGATCAGGTATGTAAACCCATACTAAGCTCAGATGATTGTGTTATTTGGACTGATTTTTATTCTTTTCATTAATAAAAAGTACATCAAGGTCTGCATTCAGCGTTTTTTATTCATAATTTATATTGGATGTTATTGTTACAATTTCTGACATCAAGACATGCAAACATACATTGCAAAGAAATTACATTTCAATTAAAATTTCAAACTTTTTTTCTATTATTAATTTTTCATTTCTATGATCCCTTTTGTTGCAAAGTTTATTGGGAATGCACCAATTTGAAAATCTGGGCCAATATACCATATTAATACTGCTGTTATAGCTGATAACAACACTTATCAATATTGTATACATATTTTCCTAGACTTTCAACACTTTGTAAAAACCATCTGCACCTCTGCTTTAATTAAAGACCCCAAAATCCTGATCCATCACTACCTGTCACATGACCAAACCAATACCAAACTAATACTCGCTCCCCTTTCTGCAACCATCTCGATGCTGTTTGCAACAAGATGGATGCAAACTCTAATTCTAATATGTTAAAAAAGGCAAATTGATCGATACCACTATATATTGTACATCAATACTAAAAGAATAGCAGCTGTGTCTTGACCAGTTGGGTCCCATCAACTCCCATAAGAGCACATTTTTAGGTTAAGAATAATAAATTGTCGCCGATGTCTAATATTTTGGTAGATTAGTGATTGGTGGATACATAAAAAACTGATCTGACTCATTGCTGCAAGTCTAAAAATCAGTCACGGTCCCCCTCTGTTTTGCAGTTAACTGATAGAGCTGCCCACCACTTTTGCCAACTTTGTGACTTTTCTTTCAAATAAAATCAGTACCGGCCAAAATCTGGATGAGGTTTTTTAAAAATCGGCGATCAGCCCAAAAACTGCAATCGACTCACTCCTACATAAAACAAATTTCCATGAATAATATTATGCAAAATCTATTTAACTTGCTTCAAAGTTAACCAATAATAGACTTTAAGTGTTACAGTACATAGATGGTCTGCTGACACACTATGACTAAATAAGCCCAGAAATTAAAGCTTTATCTGTAAAGTCAAAGCACTAACCAGGACTAACCAGTTAAATCCATCCTAAGGAGACGCCTGCTAATGTGATTCTAAGGTACACTTGTTCAATGTCCAGGTTTTCATTATTGTTACAAAACCCACCAGATCAAGCCATACAGATCAAAATGTAGATCTCAGTAAATTAGGACATAGCAACCTTTAAGTAAGTATCAAACATTTATCATTAAACCCTCAACTGTATGAAATGAATTTGTTCTGATGTGATACTCTAATCTCTGAAGGAATCAAATGTTTTCCAATGAAGTGGAAAATCACAGAAATAAAGCTTTGAAAAGATCAGTCTGTGTGTATTTGATCTGTCAGTTGTTGCTGAAATAAATGTACTTTTCAAATCTCATTGCTGTGGAAGTGCTTCTGTTTTTCTTACAAGTATCAAATATAGATAAAAGCCTTATGACCACTGTGTAGTCCAGTGGAGAACCAGTCATACTGTATGCTTGTTAGATTGCACCAATCACATTTCTTTTAAGTGACAAATCAGGAGTAAAAAACAGATAAAGGGTGAGTTAAAGTAGAAGAAAAAACACTGAATGTAGTTATTTTATTTCATAAGGAGGCATCTCAGATTATTTACAATATGGAGCTGAGAATGAGAATGAATGTAGTCTCTGAGGGTGATGCTTATGAAGAAAGATCTGGATTTAAATGAAAACCGGTCTGTCATCAGGCTGAAGTGTTAAATCAGTTTAATGAAATTATGGATTTGTTGAGCCAAAAAGTGCATCTTTACTGTGGAACTCCAGCATAAAAGGAAGTGACACTTCATTTCAGATTTATGCCTTGGATTATTAAATATATTACTGAACAAATCACAAAGAGAAGGTTGCAGCCCCAGATTATCGCCCAGCTGTGAAGATCAGCAGAATGATGAAGGTTTGACAGTCGGTGCTGAAAACACAGGGCGTAGAGACAGGAAGTGATGTCATGAGATAATCAGGCTTTTATTACTGGAGTCTCTGAAATCATTCAAACGTCTGGTCTCTTTGATGTTTAGCTCCATGCATCTGTCTGTCGTTCCCTTTAGTCACTTAGTCCTCCTCTTCGTCAGTCCTCCAGCCCCAGCGTGTTCAGTTCTTCATCCAACTCCTCCAGATCTTCTCCTGTGAACAGATTTTCGTCAACAGGGACGTCCTCCTCTTCGTCCTCCCCTCCACTGTCCTGCCCTCCTCCCTCTGCTCCTGAAAGCCCGTTTGCCTCGGCGCCGCCGCAGGCTGAGTTTAGTTGATCCTCTGCAAATAGAAGAAGGAGGTCAGGTAAAAATCTAAACATGTCCACTCTGTGAAACAAAGTAGAAAAACAGTCAAGAATTGAATGGATTTAGGTCAAAGTGGACATTAGCTGGTTTATCCTCTTCCTCACCGTTGTCTCCTGTTGCCGTCTCATTCCTGGAGCTGAATCGGTCTGTAGATGCTACTGTAATACCCGTATGGTCGACCTCTTGTGGAACAAAACGGGATAAGTCTATGTCCTGGACATCTGAAAGATCAGTCTGAAAGAAGGGAAGAAGGAAGTTCAGAGATGTTTCATAATATAGCAACACAATGGCATGAACATGTTTATTTTATGCAGTTTTTATTTTTTTCCCATTAGGGTTGTATAACACTTTGAATTAAGTTTTAAATCCAACAAAAAATAAAAGAAACTAAAATTATCCTCATTTATGCGCCACAGAATCTTTAACCTTTGGCAGGTTTTAATAAAACTCAATGCATCAAACTATATGGTGTTAACCTCCATTTGTAGTTCTGATGTAATTAATACGGAGGTAAATAAGTTGACTGATTCCATCTCTAGCAAAAAATGAGGTAAAGGACGTTTGGTATCAATAAACTACAGTATGGATTGTATTTTAATGTAAATGATCCTTTCTTTAGATTGAAACAAACATGGCTACAGAAGATATAGTCCAATATAAAGTACAACTCTGCCACCTGCTGACACAAATCAGTACTGCAAAATTAGATCATTTAACAAGCTTTGAGGTTTCTAATCACATCTGAAAGATTGAAGAGTTTATTCTAATATTAACAACAATTTCCACGCTACCTGCTTATATGGTTTTACGTCAAACAGTAAATAGTATATTTATAAAATTATGAGGTCATAATAAACCTGGAAAACAGACATCATATGAAGTTTTTATCTCAAACAGAAATAAAAACCAATACATGATCTTTTTTATCCATTTACCTCTTCCTCATCCTCTTCCTTCGTTTCATCTGCGTACTGAGTATCATCAGCTTCATCGTCGTCATCATCGACCAGCTCCGGCCGGAACTCAAACACCTCACGGCCACTCACCTGGACAGATACCACCGGGTTGAAAGCTGCAGGTCCCAGTAGAAAAGTAGTGCCTTCAGAAATAAACATTTACTTACAATGAGTGACTTGCCAGCCTTAAAGTCCGCCTTCTTCTTCTCCAGCTCCTCCCTGGCTTTATCCACCTGCAACCAAAAGCAGAAACTGGACCAATCAGAGCCGGAGAGCAGCTGAATTCTGTAGCAGTAAGCAGGACAGGAACGAAATCGACACTGATGGTGAAGAGAACTCCAACCTTCTCCTGCCTTTTCCTCTTCTTCCAGGCCAGGAAGGTCTCCAGCGTGATCCGAGTTACGTTTACTCCCAGAGCGGCCCGCTGCGCATGGAGACACACGTCAGAACAGAACCAAGGAACCCAAACGATGACATGCTGTCATGTCAGCATGTCATGATACAGCCAAACGTTTGACTCAAAGAAAACCTTTAGCGAGAGATGCAGCGATCTACTTTTTTCACTTCTGTTGCCGATATCTGAGGTTTAGTATTAGCCGATACCAATCTGATGCAGAAACACAGCACTGAAAAAACTAGAGATGCAAATATTTCACAACGAACAAAACTGAGCCGACATGAACAACCAGCATTATTTTTATCTTGTTTCTGGTCATGTTTTCCCCCCATAAGTATTGAAACTATAGTGAAATAATCTAATATTGGTAAATAAAAGTAATAACAATATCAGATATTGATATTAGCCCAAATTTTCAAATCTGTCCATCCCTACATGCATTTCTTGTAAACACATATGCAAATGTACTGAATTAACATTTAATTCATCAATACCTTCCAAAACTTGGTCAAACATGTAAAAACAACAAGTTTAATTTGTTCAGTAAGAGCAAACAGGACTAGAACAGCCAATGGAAACGAAAGAACCTGAAACTGATAAAAACAGGTTGGCTACTTTGGTCAAAGATGTAAAATAAAACAGCAACAAACCTTTCAAATGGTTCAGAAATAAACAATTAAGAATTCTCAATATAATGATAGAAAAATAAATTATGATATCTCTGATCATGACAGAATTAGATAGAATAGATCAGCTCTTATAGTTCAGGCACATTGTCATTAATATCTGGTCTAGATTTTTTTTCAGTATTGTGACTGACACAAATCAACATCAGATCAGTGGATCTCTAGTTTTTGACTCTTTATTTACGAGTGGCCGGCTCACCTCACTCTCTATCAGCTCCTCCAACGAGATCTCCTCCTCTTTCTCTTCCTTCTTTTTGTCTTTCTTCAATACAAAACCGGGTGGCAGGGCGTGCCTGTACATACAATTGTCGCCCCCTGCTGGACACACCCAGAACCAGCCGTACTTGTTATTTTCTATGGCTTCCAAGAAGTACTTACACACCTGCAAAAAAGCAAACAAAGAGAAATGACGGTGTGTTTGGGGGCCGGTAGGTGAAGTGGGACTGTTTCATCACTACTTTTGAACTCAGTTTGACATGAAAAATGAAAAAATACACTTACTATTTGTGTTTTGGCTTTCTTCTTCTCTGCTTCTCCATGTTTTTTGTTGACCACTTCCTCCAGTTTCTTCTCATCCCAGTTCTCCATAGTGTCTGAATGAATCAGAAAGTTACTAATATGAAAGAAGTTTCCATTTCTAACTCGGGAAGCAGCTTTGAAGCTGCCTCACTGAACGGCATATCCACCA